GCACCATTTTAAATCTCTTGTATGATTATAATATTCCCTTCTCACTAAGGACGATTTAGCTATATAGTTGGAATTAATGTGAAGAGAAAAGGCTGCCAGGTGTGACCTGGAAACTACACCAAAAAAAGACAAGATTTGGGATGGATTTGAGGATGTAGATATGATTAGTTGCAGTTAGGATCATCTACTTTCCTTTTTCAGGGAAAGAGTGCAAGTAAATCTCAAAAACATACCAAATGAAGCAAGATTTGTGACTGTGTGTTATCAATACTGAAGAATATTTAGCAGAGGCTGGAGTCAGGAGCTGGATGGGGCTCAGATGTATTTCTTTCAGCACTCATCACTCCACATGGGGACTGTTCTGTACATTGGAATGGATTCACCTCCTCTGGCAGCTGATAAGGAAAAGATTCATTCTCTAGCCAGATGGCAATAAGATCACAGACACCTTGGGTACAGGTATGATGGCATACATGAGGCGACATGCTGCAGCACATTCAGGGCAATATTCTGTGTATTCAGGTTTCTTGTGGGCAAGGTGAGCAGCTGAGTGCCAGGGACGTTCTGTGAGTGTTAAGTGCCCCGAAGTGACAGGAGGTGTGTGACACATGCTGATGTCAGGGTTTTTCAGGAAGGCAGTGTATCAGAGAGCCCTGCTGACCGCCAGCAGCAGCAGCCCCAGCCCCTCTGGGGAAGCAGGGGAGCTGCAGGGAACAGAAGCAATACTTTAGCTGTTTATCAGAATACCAGACATGTACTTTCTGGTTGATTTGAGCATTAGCTACCTGGTTTGGACTTGGTTTAGTTTTTTTTTTTTGCCTGGGTCCTTTTGAGAAACATTTTCCTTATTACTCAAAGAACACTGAATATCTTGAATGTGCCTGAAAGGCACCTGGACTGTTACCTTGTTGCATTGGAAGTGACAAAAGGAAAACTAGGGGGAGAAAAGAATTTAGTTATAAAGTACACTTTGCTTAATTTTTTGTAGGTAATGTCAACTCTTTTTAGATTTTAGGCAGTAAAGTCAAGTTAATTATTTCCTTTGCCTTTGAAGATTTTTAGATTGTGTCCTGAAACCTTGGCTATACTTCACAGAAGTTTGCTGCTTTCATTTTAATTGAACTCTTAGATTAGAAAAATCTTATAGGTTCAAGTGTGTTTTAGTTTACCATTACTCTTGTCCTACTGCAGAATGCCCCACTAAAAAATTTGTTCAAATCTTTCTTACAGTCCTGCTTTAAGTATTGAAAAGTCACAATAAGGTATCCCTGGGACCTTCTCTTCTCCTGAAGGCTGAACAAATTTTACACACCTTTTAAATTCCCAGCTGTGGGTAACTGTGTCAAAGGCCATACAGAAGTCCAGATAAATGACAACCGTAGCCCTTCCCTTGACCACTGATGTAGTCACCCTACCATAGAAGGCCACTAGGTTGGCCATGCAAGACATGTCCTTGGTGGAACCATGCTGGCTGTCCCAAATTAACTCCCTATCCTCCACATGCCTTAGCACAGCTCCTAGGGGATCTGCTCCATGATCTTCACAAGCACAGAGGTCAGGCTCACAGGTCAGTAGTTCCCAGGGGTCCCCTTTTTTCCAGTTTTAAAAAGGGTGCAATGCTTTCCTTTTTCCAGTCACCAATAACTTCACTTGATTGCCATGGTTCTTCAAATATCATGGAGAATAATTTGACAACTACATCAGCCAATCCCCTCAAGACTCTGGGATGCATCTAATCAGGTTCACAGACTTACTTATATTCAAGTTCCTCAGGTGAGGAACAAACCTGATCTCTCTATTTTTTTACTGAGTTTACTAAGTTCTTATAGTTCTTCTAGTATTCCACTCCTACCAGCAGAAGGCAAGTAAAAGACATTATAATTAAGTATGGAAACAGAGGGAGGTATTCACTTTATTGTAAAATACAGTGCTCTGGCACATACCTACTCCTGCACATCTGGACTGCAGTCTGTGATGTGGCAGCATATTTCCTCACATACATAAACCATGTTTTCCTAACGTAGTTAAGCATGTTTAGTAGGTTCTGCTGGCACTCAGGAGCTGGAACTGTGATGCTCACATATGATGGCCTTGGCAAGACAACAGCTGTGAGCCTCTTTCTCCGCAGTTTTTACTGTCAAGAATGGTCTTCAGGAATCCCATGACACTGAGACCTGTGAAAAAGTCCAAATCAATAGAAACTTAGTGGTGAAGAACTAGGTTACAGAACACTTAGGCAAAGTGGACACAGACAAATCCATGAGACCACATAGGAAACACCCACAAGTGCTTAGTATAGCTGTGGAAGTTGGGTGGTTGCATTCTTAATTATCTTTAAAAGGTCATGGCAACTGGTGGAGATTGGAAAAAAAGAAAAGTCACTCCTATCTCTAAGAAAGACAAGCAGCAGAATACAGGAGTTACAGGCTGTCCAGCCTTACCTTGAAGCCTTGAGCAAATCCTCTTAAGGGCATTTCTGGATGTGAAGGACAGGAAGATGACTGGTTGTAGTCAACATGGATTTCTGAAGAGGAAATAATTCCTTGGAATGCTGATAGCCTTCTATGACAACTGGAAAGGCTTCATGAATCTGGGCAGAAGAGTGTATATTTCAACTTTAGCAGGGCTTTTGTTACTGTCTCTCACAACATGAACAGACTACTGCAACAGAGCAGCCAAATGGGCATAGAAAACTGACTGAATTGCAGTACTCAAAGGTTGTGACCAGCAGCACAAAGTCCAGCTGGTGGCCAGTCACTACTGTTGTACTACAGGTACTGGACCAGTACCGTTTAACATCTTCATTAATTACCTGGATGATGGGATATGGTGCACCCTCAACTAATTTGCAGGAGATAGAAGACTGGGAGGAATGGTTGATGCCATAGAGAGTTTTCTGATATTCAGAGGGACCAGGAAAAGCTGCAGAAATGGGCCAACAGGACCTCACTGTGTTCAGGAAAGGGAATGCAGTCCTGCAGCTTGGAAGGAACAATCTGGGAGATGCCCAGCTGGAATGCAGATTTGTAGAAAAGGACATGGGGCTCCTGGTGGATACCAGGATGAACATGAGCCAGGAATGTGTCCCTGCAGCAAAGGCAGCCAGTGGACTCTTGGGCTGCATTAGGCAGAGCATGGCCAGCAGGTTGAGGGAAGGAATCCTTTGCTCTGCTCAGAATTGGTGAGACACACCTGGAATGCTGAGTCCAGCTCTGGGCTCCCCAGTATGAGAGAGACATGAACTTACTGCTATGGGTCCAGAAAAATGTTTTGAAGGTAGTTAAGAGACTGGAGGACCTGTCATACAAGAAGAGGCTGAGATCAGCTTGGGGAAAAATGGTTCTGGGGAATCTCAACCATGTGCATGAATAACTGATGAGGTGTAAGTAAAGAAGAAGTAGCCAGATTCTTCTCAGTGGTGCCTGGTTACAGGACATGAGGCAGTGGACACAAGCTGAAACACATGAAATTCCACTTAAACAAAAGAGTTTTGCTGTGAGGGTGACTGCACACTGGCACAGGCTGAAGAGAAGCTGTAGAGTGTCCATCTCTGGATATATTCTAAGTCTGATGTGGCACAGTCCTAAGCAACCTTCTCTAGCTGATCCTGCTCTGGGAAAAGATGGGCTGTGGGGACTAGGTGATCTCCAGAGGCTCCTTCCAGCTTCAGTGATACAGTGATTTTCTATGTCTGGTGTTGTTCAAGGTGCCTAGCCAGTAGAAATACCACAAATTCAAAGGAACAAAAATGATAATATGGAGGGAAAATAGCAGACTATTTGACTTGTTTTTGACTTGTTTTTGGAAATGAAAACACATTTGCAAGATAAAAAGGAGGTATTTTAAAAACAATTCTTGTAAAAAGACAAGCTGAACAACACACTTCATTGGAATTTAACAGCCTCCAAACATGTTACTCTTGTGGTTTTTAATCCCAAAACCAACATGATTGTTTCCTTTAAGGTGGGTAGTAAAGCATTTGGTAGTTGACAATGGGTTTCACTGTACTCATTAGTTTATTCTCCCATTTTTCTAAAAAAAAAGTAATAATGTTTCCATCTTTTGTAAATAAATTTCAGATCTGAATTACAAAACAAATCAGGTTATTTATGTTCTTTGCACTGAATTATTTTAATTTATAAGGAGTATGATTAAAAATAAGTATATAAATAAAAATAAGTATATTAAAAATATAAGGAGTGATTAAAAACAATAATGGCAAAAGAAAGAAGAAAGTACTTGATACTCAGTGCATGTACCAACTTCTGTGTCACTGGAATTCAGGCCATTAGCATTAATCCTTTTTGATTCTGTTGAGAACCCCTGTTTATTTCATCACACCTAAAAAATCAAGGAGGCTAATAGGCAACTAATTGAATATTAAGTCCCCATTCATTCTGCCACACATCAGTGACTGATGAACAGCAGCAAAGGTGGTCGGAGGGAAGAGAATACAAGTAGCTGTTTAGTGAAATGTTCAAGCAAGAACAGATATTGCTAAAATATTTGGTTATGGCAAGCCAGATGCTTCCAGATTAGGTGCATGAAGAGCTGCTTGTGGACTGGAGTCAATGTGAAAATTTTCACTTGCTGGGAATTTCAGTGGCAAACCTTTGCTTGCAGAGTGGAGTAAATGTGGAGAGATAACCTTTTTACTTCAAGTTCTGGGAGAAGGGAGAGAGGAGTGGTAGCAGTGCTAAAGTATATTCTGTGCTGGTACTGTGGATAAGAAAAAAAGCCCTCACTCTGCTCTCTTGTAAATCTCTAAATGCAAGGATGTAGTTCTGTGTGTTTATATAACAACTTCCAGTGAAACCAAGTTAAATAAATTAGTGCTGATAATGTTTTTCTTTTTAAAGAAAATCAAAACTTATGTGAGCTGTTTGGGAAAACTCACTTTCTACTTGTTTTCAGCCACATCTGTACCAGATTGTATGGAGGCTGAGGGATCTGAACTTTTGTTTCAATGTATATTGCAACATTTTTATTGCATTCCACAGGTCCTCCAGTAAACGTTACTTGCAATATTTTTATCAACAGTTTTGGATCAGTCACAGAAACCACAATGGTAAGTGCTATGATGCCATTGGCAAGAGAACAACAGTACTTAATATATGTCATGAGCACAACCTGTCAATTTTTCTATTTATTGTTCAACTTGCAGGTCCTCCTGTAAATGTTACCTGCAACATATTTATCAACAGCTTTGGTTCAATAGCAGAAACTACAATGGTGAGTGGGACTGATCATTGAAGCCATCTTGTGAAGGAGTGGGATGTGATGTAGGATAGAGATGCTCAGGATGTGGGGACCTTTACTAAGTTATGAAGCCACTAAAAACCTGAGTAAAAATAAAATAATAAAAAATAAATATATAATAATTATATATATGAATAATATATTATATATATATATAAAATTAAACACACCTATCAAGTCTAAACACACCTACATAGGGACTGCACTACAGTCTGTAGTGACTGTGATGGCAGCAAATACAGGTGTGTGCAAACCTGCTTTCTCAGGTTTCAGTAGCTCTGAAGAGGCAGAGGAACAGCTGGAGCTCAGCTGCAGGTTTCCCTGCCAAGTGCACCATATTTGAGTGTGTTTTACAGCACATGCTGAATTACCTGCTGCTGCAGGAAATGGTCTTGCTTAACTGAGATAGATCTCTGTGAATTGCAGCCACACCAGTCACAGAAGTGTAAAACTTGAGTCAAATGGCTAGAACATGTGGGTATAAGACTTAAGTATTTTGAGGTGAAATAATGGGATTCCACCTGACTGAAACTTGTATTTTGACTGAATGCAAAGGACACAGTCAAAATAAAAAAAAAATAATAAAAAAAAAGGTCAGATTTTAATGTTGAAAATTGCAAAATATAGGATAAACAAAAACTAAGAAAAATGAAAATTAAAATTTTCATCCAACTTAAAAAAAAGCACTTTAGTCTAGAAGTCCATCAGTCTATTATATTTTTTCAATATTTGCTAAGAAAAAAAATATTTTTTTGATTCTATTTAAAAAGATACTGAGTTTTTAAATCTTTTTTAAAAGTGAATAAAAAAAGATCTGTTTTTTTATTCAAGCCTACATACACGTGACTATGGGGGTTAATCCTCAGAGATATTCTTGACAGATTTATCATAATAATGTGATAAATAATAATAATTATTAGGTGCTCATATCTATGGCACTTTTGAAGACACTGCAATGTAGTTTCACAGCTCTGTTTTCCAGAGAGTCCTACACAGCACCCAGGTGTTTTTGGATTTGCTGAAGCCAGGGGCAATAATGGTGCTTGGCTTCCTGTAGGACTGAGAACTTGGTAATTAAAAATGAACTTGCAGTAAACTTGCACTTGAAGTAAACCAAAAAATTAGCTTGTTTAATAAAATGGAATAGATACTGCCTTGCAGGCCTTGCATTATTGAGGAAGAGAAGATCTTTAGCCTGACTTATGTATTTTGATTAATATTAATTTAGATTCAATTGTAATTCATGCCATCATTTTAGAAGGCAGTGATTAAAGAATGTAGGATCACAAATCTTCTGCTCCTAAACAATTTTATTTAAAAAAAATCCACTCTGTTATTTAATATTTTCTTGAGATAAAAGGCAAATTATTGCTAGGCCAGTTTGCTTTCTTTAACAGTGTGGGAAAGACTTTCTATAAATGACAAGCTGTAGCGTGCAGAGCTATAACACAAACAGATAAGTTAATGCTTTAGACTACGTATCTGTAATATTTTAAAAATACCTTAAAAGAAAACTGAAATAAATTTTAAAATGACAGGGAATAAAACATATCAGTACGTAACATAATTATCAACAGACTTAATTTTCATCATTTTTTGAAAATATTAATTGCTTTCCTGTATTTTAAGGATTCTGAGAGGATAGCTGTGAATATAGCATTTTTACCCAGCCATGTCTGTTGATCTCAGTGTGTAGAGATATCAGCATAGCATTAAGTAGCAAAAATCCTGCACGTCACTAGCTTTACAAGATGGCATTCAATGAAAATATTTGCACGACCTAATGCTGATTGCATTAATTAGACTCCTTCATTGCTTTGATTAAATCCCCTCATTGCATTTTACCTTCTATCAAATATGTTAATGTGCACCTTTCCAATGTTCATTAACACATTTTTCTGAAAACAGCTAAACATTCAAGTAGATGAAAACAAAGACTATTGGCTTTCTTATTTTGCTTTGTTCATTATATCTGCTGAAAATGTGGAAAGATTTCTATAAGGTGCTGTTCAATTATTTGATATTTATTTCCATAATGTTGTCACTTCTTTAATGACTATTGTGATTAGTTCTAGGAGTCTGCTCTGAGAGGCAGACATCAATAACTGTTCCAAGTACTTTGCCTTTCTGAAATAGATATAATCATGTGGTAAAGTTGTTGGCATCCCTTGTGATAAATAACAAGTTTGTTTGACTCCTAGGAATCATTTTTCCCTGTAAATGTTCTTGATGGTTTTGACATAAAACTAAATGATTCATTTAAAAGCCTGGATTGCAAATTCAATAGAGACAGTCCTGTCTCAGAGGAGAGGAATGCTTAGTGAAACCATGTACATTCACTGAAGAGACATTATCAGAATATAACTTGGGCCATCTAGAGCAGTTCATTGGAAACTTGGAAGATGGAAATTTGCTCAGAGAATCTTTCAGTAGCAGAAATTAACATGACAAACAGGATTACAGTCACAGACCTACTAAATTCAGTAAGCCAGGTTCTCAGTAACATTGTCAGTAGTTTCTGTTCTCTGATTAACACACACAGTACAGAATAAAATTCCTTCCTACGTGAAAGGAATGTCCAGCACACTCTTCTAAAAGCTAAAACCTTACATTAAGAAATAAAACAGGATTTAATGCTGATTCAGATGGATGAACTCCACAAACTTTTCGTGAGTTTTATTCCTGAAGATCTAGAGAAACAAAATACAGATGTAACTGTCTTTCTTCTCTGTAATGCATATATGGAACAGTATCCCAAAAGATTATTTTTCCTGCAAAAGAAACACCTTTTTTATTAAATGATATGTATTATACCAAAATGAAAACAGTAAAAAAAAAAAAGGCCAGAGTCAAGATGATATAGTTGAAAATTTTCTTTGATTTATTTGTCTCTAATTTAAGCCCTAACTTGCAAAGAAAGAGAAAAAGATGTTTCTGAATAACTTCACTGAATAAAGCAGTTATGAGAGTAAATTCTGTATCTATTTTTGGAAGTATTTACACATGCAGTACTCAGCAGAAAATTCACTGTACAGCATGACTGCAGCTGAGTATCACAGATGAGTAATCTACATGAGCCTGGGCAGCGTCCCAAAGAATTCAAATGTTCACTATTCCTAATGACCAGGATTTTTTAGCTATCAGCTGTAAGAGAAGTTAAGAGTGGTTTGTACACTGACAGGCTAATTGTTAATTACAGAAATGACTAACTGTGAGAACATTATTATTGTCGTTATGCCCTATAATCAATGACTGACACTATGCAGCACATTCTCTGTCAGGGTAAATGATTCAAACTCCAGTTGTGTTTTTAGTACTTATGTTAGCAGAAAAAAATTTGCCATTTCTTAGTTTTAAAAGCTTTGCTGTGCCTGGTTGTATGATACTATCTCCCATCTAGAGAAAAAAACACCATAATTACCAATAAGCTTATTAGATCCTCATTAATTCACTTGTACACATTTAACCAAATAAAAGGCTCCCACTGAAGCCACTGGGGACACACTTCATACTTATGCCCATAGGTAGCCAAGTTCTTTTTCTGTTGCACAGCTTTGGAATAGGTCATCAAACCACTATGTTTCAGTTAGAATTCATCTTTAGGATTTAGAGAGAGAGACAGAATAGTCTTTTTGGCAAACCCCTCCTATTCATGGAAGGCCAGCTAAGTCTGCTGTTTGTTTCAGACCCCCAAGTGAACTCCTGGGTGATCACTGCTGTGGGAGAGGAAGATGGGAGGGAAGCTCAGACCCAAGACAGGTGCTGGTTTAGACAGAGCGTAGCACTGAATGGGGCAGGGGGCTCCCCTGCACTTCTCCTGCCACAGCAGTGCCTGAGACCAAAGGGATCCAGAGCTTTGCTCTGGGCACTGAATCTGGATTTAGATTTGCTGGAAAATGATATCTATCTACATTCCTATAATACAAACTAAGTATGTCTGTGGATCAAGTCCCTAAATCTTCAGATAGAGCTACTAAATCTAATCAGATTAATATCCTTTCAGCGTGTTTGTATTACTCTGGGCTTATGGCTTGAGAACAGAGGAAAACTCTTTATCTGAGTTGCCTTGAGTTATTGCTGACACTAGGTTTGCATCTGAGATTGAATCTTCAGGTCCACACTCCTTGTTCAGAGTGGTGGTGCTGTCAGAAGGAATTTGCAGAGTAGGTGTATTTGTGGTTGTGTAGGAGTGTATTACTACAGTCCACCCACTTCTACCCTCAGGACCTTGCAAAATACACACTGTAGTCTGCCTCAGCTCCATGTTCTACCATTCTCAAGAGAATTTTCCTTCAAAACACAGTTACAATGGTAGCTCAGGAAAAGTAAATTCAAAATTCTGCACATGATTAAGTCTGACTGTGTAAACACACGTCCCTCTCAAATGCATATACAGCAAGCATAGGAGGAAAAAATAATGCTGTTCTTGAGATGTGCATGTTATATTTACATTTTTATTTCTCATTAAAATATTTACACATATATATGTGTCGAGTCACCCCAGGACAATATGCAAAGCCTATCAGACTTAAACAAAGGTTTCAGCTCCGTTTTGCTTCTAACAACAAAGCTTGCAGGGGGAAAGCATTTCTAACTGTATTGGTGTGATGAGTCTGATAAATTTATGAAGAGATACATTGAAAAATATAGTGTAATCTTATTGGCACTATTTCTGATTTTGGTATAATATATATTATCATATGCAATCTCTTCTATGAACGAAGATTTTTCAGACTTTTTTATTATCTAAATCACCAAACACTGAAGTTCATCAAAGCAATTTTTTATATATTTCTATCTATTTTACTGATCTGACTTATGATTTCTATGTCATGGAGGAAAAAAATCCCTCTGTTTTCCACATTATATATCATATTACAATGAAGAATAAAAGGCAGCCTCACAACTAGTTGTTCCAATTTTATTCCATCAGCAGTTGCTCCTTCTTGCTTTTCTGCAGAATTAGAATCAGTGCGTTCCTGGATTTGTAACTAAAGCTGTCCCATATAAACTCTGAGACACATATATACTTAAAGATAAATATAAGCTTAAAGACACATTATAAACACAAGACACTCTCAGTTTCTAAGACCATGAAATAAGGGATAATATGATTGTGGATGGTGTATCCTCACAAGAAGTGATGACATTTTATGAGCTCAGAACTACAAGTAGCTATTTGATATTTAAATGTCTGAAACAAGATCATCATAAAAAGTACAATGACTTGTGAAAAACAGATGCAGGCTTCTGTAAGTATCTTTAATAAATGCTGTTCTTGAGACCTTTCTCAAGGTCTGTCGTGCTCTGATTAGTCAACATTCCTGTTTTGAACCACATCTACCCAAGAGCAAGATGAAAATGAAAAACAAAGAAAAATTACTCACCTACTGAGATTGTAAAGCATCTTCCCACTGGGTTCAAAATGTGCATCAGTTTGGATGTCAGAAATTCTGTCAGGGCAGCAGCACACCTCACTACCAGCCCATGGAACAAAGAGGGTGAAAACTGAGGCTCAGAGGGGCTCGTTCAGAGTCTGCACATTGGGCAAGCTGCTGTCTGCAGCTGTGATCAGAGTGAGAATATTTATCTACATTTCAAGGGTGATAAGGTATTTTCTATGCAGTTCAGTTACCTGGCTAAAACCCAGTCAGATCATACATTTTCCAAGTCAAAAGCACAGTGCTGCCATTTTAATGTACAGCTGCAACCATAAAGCAAATCCTAAATGTTAATGTTTTGTACTGTCAGCAGAATTATTTGATAAAAATTATTTGATAAAGCATGCCTTCAGACAATATAATCAATACATATATTATTCTTTTTCTTTTAGAGGAAGAGTAGATGGTATTTCTAAGTATTTCTAATTTCTAATGTTCACAAACAAATTAAAAATAGCAATTTCAGAGAGATGAAGATCTTATTTGCTGACTTTGGAGACCTGGGATAAGGAGAGTAAGCATTTGCTTCTTTCCATTCCCTGAAGAGAGTTTAGAACCTGAAAGCTCTTCTTGCACTCACATTTAATAACCAATTATTGACACAGTGTTAATGTTGGTTCTAAATGAGCCTCTAAGTAATTGCTGCCTTGCCCAGTTGTGACTAGCAGGCCACCAAGCAGAGGAACATAATCAGGCCAGTTGTAATGGGATGCAGACAGGGAAATGAAGGAAAATACACAAAAATCACACAGTAAATAGGAAAAGGAAACAAATAGTAAATAAGAACTGGTGATTTAATTTCTTCTATAAAATTTTGGCTTCACTGGAATTAAAAACTATTCATGAGTACATTACACATAAATGACATATTGGAATCAATTTATTTAAATTGGTAATTTTATAGAATCTTTGATGAAACTGTATATATTTAGCTACAATGCTTTTTGAATTTCCAAATATCTCTTAGGTAATCCACAACATTTGAAAGAGGGTTATGTTTAATTGTGGAGGTTGCAGTTAATATTTTTCTCATCCTGAAGTAATTTTGATTTGGAAAATGTATCAGTTATGTTTGGTTGGCTCAATGCAGCAGTTTGCCAACTTTATTTTCAATTGACAACTCTGATGTTCAAAGGATAACACAAATGTTTGCTGTAATGCTGGTACTGCAGTAAGTCTAAGAACATAAAGCAAGCTACAGTGGGCTTCCAGTTTTGGTGGCTTAGTAACCTTTTTACATGACATTTCTGTAGGACTACAGAGTGAACATTTTTTTGAGACAGCAGTGGAATGATTCACGTCTGGCTTACAGCGAATATCCTGATGATTCCCTGGATTTGGATCCCTCTATGTTGGATTCTATTTGGAAGCCAGATTTATTCTTTGCCAATGAGAAGGGAGCAAATTTCCATGATGTCACAACAGACAACAAGTTGCTGAGGATTTCTAAAACTGGAAAGGTGTTGTACAGTATCAGGTAAACCAGTTAATTTTATTTTTTCTCTTCATCCCTTTCTTTCCCTCCCTGTTTTTTTGGATGCAATGTAGATGTTTAATTTTTTGTTGTCCCATGTATAAAACCAAAATGAGACTTAGTAATAGCAGGGTGGAAGGAAAATTTGCCTATGTTTCTTTGCTAACATTTTACTTTTTGCAAAATAGTCTCTAAGTGGCACAGTGGTACTTGGTCTTGTTGAAAACTTGGTACTCTCTAGAACTTTAATGGTATGCCTCAGTAATTCCCATTAGCATTAGCTCAAGTCACTCCTCTTGCAAAGAGGAAATCATCTCTTCAGTAGTCTGTGGGCTGCAACTCAAAAGTAAAGGGGAATATTAATTTAAATGACTGCTAACACTTGAAGTAAAAACATGCTTGAAATGCAATAAGTTTGACATGGAAGTCACTGGTTAATCGGATTTATCTAGTCACATTTAAAAAGAAAAAATACACGTGGAACAATGGAAAGCATTTGTTTTTAATACTAGGTTCACTGAAGTGTGTGTCATGTGACTAGATTTAGCTGAATTAATAAACACTGACAAAATATGATTTGATGTGACCTGATGAAATGGTACATAAGCAGAAAAACAAAATTGCATTCCACAGGCATAAATAGCAGCAAACAACCTGCAGTATTTATTTGACATTCAGCTTACTGTGAGCCATTAATTGCTTATAACAGAGGTAGCCAAAGATGCAAAGCACTCTATTATTGCTCTTAGGATTGTTTAAAATGAAGTAATTACTGGAGTTTTTTTCTTCCTGGGAATGCTTCTTGGCTTTTGCCTTTCTTGCATTGTGGAAAGTAAACGTGATAGTATTTGTTTAACAGGTTGTTTAGTAAATTTTCTCATCTGTAAAGAAAATTAGTTTAGAAAGCAGTTATTTCTGATGGGGTATTGTGGCTTTGACTGCATTTTCATTAAGGAATTATTATTGAGCCAGGCTTGGGATAGGTGTATTCTTTAGGATGTTAAATAAAAAAAATATTAGCATGGAACTTCATGCACTTAAAAAATTCTTGTGGAAATTCCTTGATGAGAGCCCAGTAATATTTGGACAGATAAAGTGGGGTTACTGAGCAGGGTGTCAAATTTCTCTACCTGAAGAGTTTGAGAAAAATAATAGGATACAAGGATGGTACCAGCACAAGTAGAGTGATAAATATGCTGTCACTTACAAATATTTCCTGTTTCACCCTGAGAAAGAAATGAATGCATCTGTTTGTTTGAATGACATCAGACACCATCTTATTGGAGGAAACAGTGCTGTTGGGTGCTGTTCTGAATGCAGAATGGATAGTTTTCCTGACATTTGCTCATGCGACAAAAGTGATATTTTGAGCTGCCATATCACGTTTGTAAAATTCCCACACCTAGATGCAAATTAATTTGAAGCAGAGTAAGCAGTATTCCAAGGCAGCAGTCAGCACATCTAACCTGGCATATAATTTTTTAACACTTTACAGTGAAGACAACTTTCTGGAGTATGGAAACTTGAAATCAGGAGCAATTAGAAATACTTGTCTTTACTCTCTAGATATGGGGCTAGACACTTCTATTCAATGTCAGCTGCCTGTAGTTGTGCTATGCAGAAACAAACAAGAATATTTTAGTGGTTGGTTTCAGAGCATTGTGGATGTTCACTAGTGCACCAATAACACTTTGCTTGTCATTGTGATATTTAACATTCAGCATTTATTATACTTTAAGTGTTTAAAACACTTCACAAATGCCTCTGGGATGTAGCAGGCAGGCTGTTCTGTCTTATTTCCAAATTTAACAAAATCAAAATCAAATTAATCATGCATAAATACAAACCATTCTTTGCATAAAGTGAGTTTAGTAGTTCTCCTGATAATTAATGGGTGAGAAGCAAGCTGTGGTATCCCTCTTTCCTGTATACTGCACCAAATACCTGAGAATACACCGGGCAGGAGGCTGACCTGGCTTATGCTGTTAAATGCTCTCAGAGGCCAAACCTGCCTTTCTGAACAGAACTTGGAAGTCACCTGAGACAACAGTTCATGATCCATATTTTACTAAAATGAGACATTTGGTGTAGGATATGGGTAGACAGAAAAATCATGGAACGGAGTGAGAGTCTGGGCTCTGTATCACCTCCACTGCAGTGCTTGGCTAAGGGAATTATCTCACCCTGTGGTAAGCATGAGGCTTTTTGTCCTTCTCTTGTATCAAAGAAACAAGCCTAACATAGCACAGAAGAGGCACAGATTCCCATCAGAGTTTGCCTTATAATACTCATGATGCTCATGCTTGCAGATTCCTACAACTATATTTAATTCCCTGGGAGTTGTTACAGAAAATAAAAAGTTGTTGATGGTTGATGTACCCACCTCTGAATCATAACTTTAGGAATCCAACCCTGTTTTTATGTTTGCTGCATGCTCAGATGATTACCTTGATACCTTTTATGATCTCAGCATGCTGTATACAGCCTCAAGCTCTATAGCTGGGTAACTGGTCTGCACCTTTGGCTGCTGCAGGGAAAACTAGAGCCATGTGGAGGGAACCCAGAACTACTTAATACTGCAAATATATGCTATTGTCACTGGAGATGTAGCAACAGCTCTTAGAGGCACGTGTATTTTGAGAGGTCTGCAATTACAACAAAGTTATATTCAGCAAGCAACTTCAATTTAGTCAAGATCAATCTCAGTTCCACTCATATATAACAATTGAAAAACTGTTAAATAGCTATAACTTTTATTTTAAAGCACCCTGTAGAGAGCAGTCAACAAGAAATGTTTGTAATAACAGTGTTGAATAAATTAGTTTGTGTTTATATTGCCTGCTGAAAAAACAGTAAGAGTTCAAATCATAACCTACACAATGTCACCCCCTAGATACTTGTGACTCATCTGCTCCCAGCCCTTGACTAATTTCTGCATGGATTGGATTTTGGAGGGGGTTCTGCACTTGGAAAGCGTCGCAGCACTGTGTGATGGTACCAAGAATCCTGTTCCAGGCACTCACATTCTGTATGACACCTGCCTTTTGCATTGCACACCGCACTGCATGGGCTTGATATTCCAGGGACAGGGATCATGTCTTCTCTGGCCCCCTGAGGACACCTGGGACATCAGGAAAATGCTAAATAAACTCACAGAAGGTTTCATATTCTCTCCGAGACACCCCCCATTTGTGCTACCTGATTCCCACAAACTCGTTTCAGGCTGCCAGCCAGCTCAGAATATTAGCATCTGCCTAAAAGCTTATTTTAGCAAAGTGATAGAAAGTGGCTTTATTTAAGGTTTGTGGATTTTTTTTTTCTGCCTTAATTGCCTCCTTCTCTTTTTAATATTTTCAGTGCATATCAGCCATATGAGATTGATTCAGAAGGTGATATAATTCAACCGTAATATTGATCCACAGCATTGAATCTAGAATATATTTGTCAGGAAGTTAAAAGCATTGTAAATATATATATATATATATATATATATATATATGGATGTGTGTATATATATATATATATAATTTTTTTTACACAGTTGAGCTTTGCTCTGAATTGTAGTGCCAGTGTATTTAGCCAGAAATAGTTACAAAGCAGATTACTACATATACTTTAAATATGAGAAGGTTTTAGAATGTGTTGCATAATTTGACAAGAGGGACACTTGGAATTCTAGGGAGGAGATCTGTGCAAATTAACAAATTACACTTCTTCCCCTATTTTTGCAATTCCTCTTCAAAGAGCAATTAATTACCTAGGAAGAATTTCCTCAAGTCTTTCAAAATATTTTTCTGTCTTTCTTTGTCTTCCCAGTGCCAGAACTGTTAGTTATGTAGACAATTAGTTCCTTGTGGTTTCAACTATCGACCTAGTTTTAATTGTAAGTGTTACTATGGCTGAGGGCCGAGTGTCTGCTGGAAAGCACTTCTGTGCTGTAGGGCACTGGGAAAGAGAGAAGGCTCGAGCTGCTGGATTGCTCTGTCTGTGCAGCTGTTCTGGGAATGGTTACCAGCCCTCCATTCCACAACAAGTAGCTGATGGGGGGGCTGGTACACCCCAAAGCCTCACCTGCTTATGCAAGCCAAGAGGAGTATCTGTGAAAACAGTACATCTATTTGCAACGCTGCATCTCACGCCAGCTGCCTTACTCAGGAGCTCCCAAAATCAGCTCTCCCTAGTGGCAACTCTGTCCTGCACCCCCACACACCACTTGGTGTTAGGTCAGGAGTTATGACTGCCATGTCCATCACATAAATCATCAGAAGTAATCCATAGCATTTCTATAATCCATCTTTTCTGTGAGAAACTTCTGTATTTTGTAGTCTCCTCTGTACTCGTGTTTTTGCCTTATGGGAAAGAAAAGCAGATTAAGGAAATATATAGGTAGCTCTGCTGGTCCCTCTGCAACAGACTTCTCATGGCAAAATGTTCACTATCCTGTAAAATGTATTCCTTTTAACTTAGATACAGTCTTTGCTTTTTTGCATGGCTACTGTAGACTATTCTGCCATCTTACAGTGAAGTCAGGTGTAGGTTTTCTAAAACGATTTTGGGGCACAGACTTTATCAGCTACATGATATTGAGGATCCATTTATACTCATGTGTAAAACATCCATGTCCCAGCACAGTCTAGCATAGCAGAGTGGTAGAAAATTTGATGTTCTACAGCTCTGTGTGCATTCTGTGCTTTAATTTGATGACTTCAATTTTGTTTTACAGTCTAGTGTTGGGATTTAAGAGGATTTGGACTTTAGTAGCAGCATTGTCTTTCCATGTGACAGATTGGCAGAGGTGGGATCATGGGGATGTTTATCATGATTGACATGTCTGCTTGCTTATTAAACTCCCACCTCACACAGACATATCTGTTACCTCAGGTCCTAGCAGAACAACACTGGTATTGACAGGGTGGCAATTTTCCCTTGGGAGTGAATGTCAATAATCACAGGGACATTTTCACTGAAAATTATTTTATTCTTGCATTGGGAACACGGTACAC